TGTAGTCAAGAGTGTTATCTATTGCTGTTAGTGCAGAAAGTTGATTTCTTTTTTCACCAGTTTTGTGTCCAAGTGATTATCGGAGAAAGTGAACTGAGTATTCTTTGAAAAACAATAAATATACATATTTTATTTATTTATTTATTTATATATAAAACAAAATTTTAAATAATAGAACATACTGCAAGCAATGAAGATATTGGCATTGATGAAATTTCAAATGATTCTATTCTAAGTAGTAAAACAGAATCTGTACTGACTAAAATATTACAATCATCAAATAATTGGAGACAACCTTAAGGAGATATTTGAAATGATTATGATATAATAAATAATAGAAAAGGAAAACATAAAGGAGCATATTGTAAATACTGTTCTATATTATAGTCTCAAGAAAGAGTCCATGAAATAAAAATTCATCTTGCAATAAAGTGAAAGAAAAAGTTCTAAATGAAATTTGAATAAAGATACTTTGAAAAATTCAAAGTGAGGATGAGCAAATGCTAACTAAAAACAACTACTTTAAAAAAAAGAAAATCAAACTCTTCTATGTTATCTCTAAATTTTTACTATAACATAAAAGAAGCTATTAATAAAAACAAAGAAATAAGAGCCAATAAATCACTAATCAAATAGATTGTATGTTTTAGTATTTCATTTTCAGCTTTTGATTCTCCTTATTTTGAGGATTTTATTAAAATATTAAACTCTAGATATAATTTACCTAAGCAATCTATATTGGCAATATCAATTCTGAAAATAGAAGCAGCAAATATTATATTAAAAATAGAAAAAAAGCTATCAAAATTTAAAATTCTTACATTATGCATAGACAGTTGGTGCAATTTAATGAAGCATAGCATATATGCTTTTGTAATAATAACAGATAAAAGAAAGCAATATATTTATGCTTTATGTAATTTTTTAATATTTTCTTATACAGCAAATTTTAATGCTAAAAAAATGCTAGAGGTACTAGAAAACATTGGGCCTAAAAATTTGTTGCAATAGTTTTCAATACAGAAACAGCAATGACAGCAGCAAAATAACAGGTTGCAATGAAATATTTACACATTTTATCTATTAGATTCATTGCACATCATATACAATTAATCTCTAGCAGTATTTGTCATTTATCTTATGTCTGAAATGTTCTTCCTAATTGTCAAAAAATTATAAGTTTTTTTAGAAATTCTTATATCGCTAAAGCTGCTCTTAGAGAGACAATTATATTTTTTTTCACTGTTAGTAGAAATTTAAAGTCAACTACTAAAATCCAATAATCAACAGCATGTGATTTTTGTAAATCTGTTTTATACAATAAAGTGAATATTAGATCAGTAATTATTATAATTAAATTTTTGATTCAAATATTATTTGAGATTTGCAAAAGTTTTTCCTTTGCAGAACTTTTCTTATTGCATTTCTACTTTAATCTTTTTATACAATTATATTGCTTGATTCTTTTTTTTTTTTTTTTTTTTTAGTTAAAGTCCCTATTTTGGGAGTTGCGATGTTTTTATTCAAGTATATTAGGACATGGTGTGCCACCAAGGGCTCATCTTACATTGGAGGTTACAACTAGCCACACGTGCACTTTTGGTGCCTAATTTAAGTAGTCC